TAGCGCAATAGGGGACGTATCAAATAGCATGCAATCTAATAACACTAAACTCCACCGTAAACTCCGACGTTCGCTCTTGAAAGTCTCAATCTTCTTCCGTCTCCTTTGCATCATAAACGACATATTCATCTCTTTAAGACACATATATGGCGAGAATATAGCAAGCAGCCGAATTCTATATAAAATTCATTGTACGTTGAAAAGGTGACAATATTACGAAATAAATAATAATTTAAGATTTATTCAGGGACCTGTCGAGAACAAAGGATTGCAACGGAAGAAGGAATAATTTACAAGTTAAAAAGTTTACGGTTCCGTTGAAGTCATGCTTCTAAGCCCGCTACGTCACACCATCGCTACTTTCATCGCTTCCAATCAAAATTTCTACCTGCACTTTGCTTGTTTGTTTCAGATTTCAACGACTCGGCCGTGTCGCTCCTATTTCAAAAGGATTGTTGGTGCCACCACCGTCCTTTTAATTTTTCCCCGATCGTTTTTCGTAAGCGAATGGACAACGTTCGCTAGAGCCTGCCGACAGAGCCTCCGTTCGCGATATAGAAAATAGCGCGCAGCTATCACGGTTCTGTCAACTGTAAACGCAAAAAATAGCGAATCCCGGGTCGCAGCGCGTTTTACGATCGAAATATCGATCATCAAGCCGGTACATCGTCAACGATAAATGTCTGCGCACGGCCGAGTTTCCCCGGACATGCGGTTCCCTGTACACAGAACGTGGATTTTCGTTGACGTTGCTAAAGCCCCGCATCAACAAACTCGATCGAACTTTCGCTCTGTCTTCCTGTCCACCGAACCTTCTACCAGCATCGTTCATACTGTTTCATTTCTTTACAAAAGACACCGTTCAATTATTCATTTTTACTTATTCACTTCCGCGACTAATGGATCGAAACTCAACGCCTTGCTTAGGTTAGAAAATAAAAAAAAACTGTTCTATATTGCAATGAAATAGATTATAATCACCGTTCGGTAGATCAGTTACTTGTAAACTAAGAAAGTAATTTTTTTATTCCCCGAAGTATTTCAAATATATTTTATAGTTTTCTTAGTCGTGAGAACAAATTAGAACTAAATTGAATTTTAACTGATTCTTACTCCGACTCCGTAAACTCCTTCCAAAATTTGTCGATACTTATTATATTTCCTAAATTGTGTTCTCTTGCGTTCGTGTTTCCTTTTAGGTATTATAAAATCGTATTCTTCTCGTTCAAATGAAATAAATAAATAAATGAAATAAAAAAAAAAAAAACTGAGAGGAATGCTTAGAAGTCGAGGCAACCGAATACCTTGAAAATTATTTTATTTAAAAAGCTTTAAAACGGTGCGCGTACTTCGTTAAAAAAGAAAACTGATTTGTGTATCGCGAGTTCTCTGTAATAACGCGCGACTTTTGTTTTAAAAGTAATTTATGACGATCGTATATTCGTTTACGTTCGTTTAAAAATTTGGAAAAGGACAATCGGACCGAAAAATCTATATTCATGTTTGTTCGATATCTCTGTAACAATTTGTAAAAAAATTCAGTCCAACATTTCCATTTTTGTGAAATAACGAAAAACAAATTCTCGTTTTTCCAAGGTACGTGACTGCGTTTAATGCACAGTAGTCATACGTAATATGTCACAAAAACAAATAAAGTGGCTGTGGAACTTATTTTGCTTCGATTAATTTATTATATTTAACACAGTCACTTTTAAACCTGATACCTATGAACCCTATATTAATCTGTCTAACTTGATCTCCACCATATAATAGAAAAATTCAACGTTCACCATCGGCCCAACAAATATGACACAAAGAACACTCTAATGACTACCAATTGTTTCTTTGAATAACAGAAAATAAAGAACAAATATTTCAATATTCCTTTTACTGTTTTGTAAATTGTTTCATCTTTTCATTAGCTGTGTATGATGCAGAAGGCTAAACAAATTAACGAGAACGATTTCGTTTATTTCGTTCGTTGTAGGCTAAATCGATTAATCGAATCTTTTCTATTCTTTCGATTTTCCGATCCTGTACCCTGGTTTATTCCCCTTTAACGAGCCAGGATTTAAAGTAGAACCGACGTACTCACGACACGGATCCACGAACGCGCGCATAACTTCGTCCTCTTTCGCTCGAACAGAACTAAAAACTCACCGATGACGCCGAGGCGAGACCAAGGCAATTTAACTTTCACGAGCAGAGTCGAATGCTAGCGACTCCGAGCTGGCTGACACGCTCGCGTCAGAACCTTTTGACAGAAACGTCGGTGGAAACGGTCAGAGAAACGATCATCAAAAGGTATGCTTCCACCGAAGTTTTATCGCGCCCTCCTCCTATCGGAATACGTTATTCCCTAAACCAGTTTCTGGTCAAAATTATCGTATCTGACACACCAGATCGGAACGTTCGTGGATCCCGATGCTAGGAATTTCTCGTGTTCGCGAATATCGATTCGCGTCTATCGAACAATATTTACCGTTTAATGGCGCGCGATACAAGGGATGAGAATGGACAGCAAAACGGCTGCAAATATTGAAAGATCCACCCAGGGATTGGAATCGAAACGATTCACGCTGATCTTTGAAAATTCCATAATCGATTTAAAACTTAGCGTTAAAGATTGTTAATGGTCTTGGTTGACGCGAGTCGTTGAAGTTTTGTTGAGTTTGTGCTTGGTTTGACAATTAATAATAATTTTGTGTCAGAAGGAACGCACTGCTATTTTGAAATACACATAATTTTATTTAAATTCAACGCTTGATGTGCTCATATCAACCAATTCAACAGAGATTTGATAGAATATCTCATAAACTATACGAACGTCACTGTAGTTTAATACTAGTGGATCGTTTAATACAACCGTTGAATTTCAATAAAATTATATATTTCAAACGCGAGCGTGTTCCTTTGAACTAAAACAAACGCGTATTTACCCAGGCTATTTAAAGTAAGCAGTATTTCCTCGCGACTAGTTTCGTTTCGGATGAAACTGTGAGAACAGCGTGTCACGATTTGGAAATCGATAATCGAGTTTAGATAATCGTTAACCGCGTAAACTTCGCTACAGGGCAGCGGCGCGAATGTCCGCGTGAAAAGTATCGGTGAAAACGAGTCGACGATTTATGACGCTACCGGCGGTACTTTAACATCTTTATTTTGCTACCATTTCCGTGAAAATTTATTGGCGGTCCGTTCATTTTTTCGCGTCTAACGCAGCGACAAAATGCCCTCGTTAATCGAAGGGCTTACGTCAATTACGCTAATGAGCACCGCGAATGATCACCAACGACCAAGGATATTATTAGCAAAATTAACGTTTAAATCCACGCCTCATAGCGTTGGGAATCCGTTTCGGGAAATCGGTATTTCGTGCCGACGAACAATGGTGGAAATTGGCCAATTTTTTATCTCGTTACCCGACGGAAAGTATTCACAGGATTTCACAGAGTCAGAAATTCATAATTATTTATCAACTCTTGTTAATCCGTGAAATTTACTTAATTACCGTTACACGAGAACAGTGACCGATTTAATAATGTATTTGCGACAGAAAACAATATTTAAATATTTCTCAAAATAGTAATTCGTTTCAGAAAATTAACGTTTGAATTTTAAAATACCATGAAATTGCCAATGTTTTAACAATGTTTCGTTGGCCACGAGGCTCTGAATTGGCTAATTTATATCATTGGCTTTTCAGTTTATATTCAACTCCGAACGAACTCGTTTACCAGTTATCAAACGACTGCGATCTATTTTGTAACTGTACAGCGCTATCTCACGCGTCTTTCAACATCGTCAGTGTCGCGATCTAATTTCCTGCGATCATCGTGCGCTCTTCATCGTCGAGAAACTGTCAGTGGAAATATCAATATTCATCGATGATGTTCAAACGTTACGAACTACCAGATGCATGGAATATCGATTCGATTAGCCCTAATTCTACGGTTCCTGGGTCTTTTCGAACCCATACATAGAAAATTGGTTGATCATTCAGGCACTTGTTCCTACTGAAAATGATAAAATATAACTAACTTTATTGAATCTTTCATTTGCAATGAGATTACCTGAAAACTCTGTAATGCTTCTAACAGTAAGAATTAATTTATCTTTATATAGTGTTGGATAAATTTAAAAAAAAACTACACCTTTATTGTTATTTATTACTTTAATAAACATCATGTAAAATAAAAAAGACTAATGATCAATCGGAAAAATAAACTAAAATTTTTCTACAATTAACACATTCTCAAAAATAGAATGCTTATATTATAACGCGCATATAAGCAAGTAAATTAATATATACGGTGTATAAATTAAAAAGTTTGTAACCATTTAAAGTAAGTGAATATTTTTAAAATGTATACTTTGCTTTGAAACACACTTTAAGAATATATAAACAAGATAATAATATAATTCTACATTTTCCCCTGCTCCTACATTTAGGAACTCACAATTCTATTGAGGATCCATCAAAAGTTTTCCTTTGTACAGGGGTCGCGGGTAAGATAAAGTTTGAGAAACACTGTTTCAGAGGGATAACGAAGTCAGCGTGCTCGAAAGAATGTATCTTCTAACAGTATTCAGTGTATCCTCTAAAAGTACAAACGTATTCGATTCTTTTGAGAGCATTATTACTTTTGATTCGTTTCATTGTATCGCATTATGTACATATTTTTCTTCCCAATGACCTAGTACGTTCGGTGATTCAACAGACATTGAAAATAATTAGAATAACGAAAGTTATACATGAACAACATTAGAAATGGGCAAAATTTATATCCAGGTAAATATTTTGAATAACAAATAAAACATAAACGACTGTTTATCGGTTGTTCGTTAAATAAATATTAAGAGTTCGATCAAAGAATGAAATATTCCATAATGAACACGTACAAATTTACCTGTTCGATCGAATGAACGTCACAAATAAATTAGTTTAAAATTTTGCCTAACTCTGATCAGGGTTATATCCAAACAAATAATTCACTCACCACCTCTCGGCGTTTCGGTGGAGCCGTAGCGTTGTCGTAAACCTGGAACAAAGTAAATATACATTTAGTTTTTTTAAATTTTTAACCTTGCAATTATGTGCTGAAATTGAATTTTGTTTTTTAAATTGGAATTATTCGATACATCATTATTCTTGACACATTTTAAATTTCATAACACTGTCTGCTAGCCTTTCAAAATTTTAAAGAAAAAACAATACTCGTAAAAAATCGAGACAGTTTTGATTTTTCTCGTTCAAACTATTCAATAACATATTTGTCTGGCTACATAATTGTTACAATAACAAATAACAATTACGATTTACTCTGTGTTGCAGCGTAACAGTAGATTCATAAAGCCAGCGGATGTAGAGTCAGACCTTTCATGCAATCAAGTTTTGCTATAATCAAGTGCCATTAAGGCGGCTATTCAATTATTAAATTCATTCAAATCTGCATGACCCTCCAAATCCAGGCGTTCTGTGACTTTACTACCTGCAATAACATCGAAAACCGGTGCTAGATGTTTTATGGCGAGTCAGGTATCGCCCATGGGTACACCCATGGCGAGGTTAGCTTCTTGGGCAACCTTGGCCCAGAGATCAGATTAAAATTAACTCTTAAACACCACTCATCAATAGTATATTCAGGAATTTGTACACTTCGGCTATCCGACGTAGAATAAATTGTTATTGGTTGTTACAATATTCGACTGATAATTCAAGTATTTACCTTCCCTATCCCACAAATATTCACTCGTCATTAACGTTGGCGTGTGAAGTTAAGCACATCAGAAAGTTTCTTAATTTAAATTATTTTGCTCAACCCCTCAACAATAATATTTTGAAAACAGGTAATATAAACATTCAACATATTCTTTCTATTTTTCCTGTTATCCTGCGACATGTTAGCTTTGATTTAAATAAAATGTCACGAACGTTTAGACAGTAACTTGGTCGATTTGATACAGTGTCGCGTATGTCGAGGCGTGACGAAGACGTTCTGTGAATCGTGAATGTTGATTACGACCAGGTGAGTACTACGTGGAAGATACGAGCGTATTGCGGTATAAACCTATCGCAAGCAAATGAAACGGCCGAGAAGAAATTGTGCCCGCAAATCGGACGGGAAACAGAGACGCAATCAAAACTTTCGAGTTCCACGAAGCAGCGTTTCGGAACTCTCAGGCCTGAAAGGCCTTCCGACTCTCGTAGCTTTCTCCACCCCTCTGTCTTCCTCTCGGCTTCCCCTAATGTAATGGCTAAATTAATTTTCAGAAATACTCGAAAATTACCGCGGAACTTGCTGCGCCGCGCCGAGTACTCGAGATAACGCGCTCGATACCACGTCTAAGCCGATGCAATCCCTCGCGTTTTAACGAGTCTCGTTTTTTAAATAATTAACAAAGATCGCGTAAAAACGAAACGCTTTTAGTTATCAATTTAACCAAATCGGGCAACTCTCGCGAACTCGCGTGGAGCTCGAGAGGCACGGTGGGAAAATTAAGTGGTCTAGCGAAACGATTTCGTTATACGACAGTCTCTAGGAAAAATATTATTTCGATCCTCCATTGCACGAATTTCATTTTAATTTTCAACGATCACGAAAGAAATTATTTCTCGGTATCTTCTTGCGCTTCGAGGAATTAAATCATATTTATTGCGAACAATTTTCCTTTTTTTCGGAGAAAAAACAAGTAATAATACAAATGTCTTTAAACGAATCGAAACTGTTCGAATGGAAACGCAAATAGTACATTGAATTTTTCAGATTTCGGTCTAGACGTTTCAAAATGTTTTATTTCCTAGCTGCGTACTCTGTACACACTCCATATTAGCCAACGCGTGAATTGGCCGTAAATATACTGTTTGAATTTTGTTTCAATAGAAGAAGATAATCCATACAATTTCTAGCGGAAATTCTTTGGTTGTTCAATATTAATTTCCTTAATGGGAACATTAATGGTTGACGTAGGTACATTGGATGTAGAAGAAAGTATTCCTAATTACATAAATTAACATGTTACATCTTTTCTCAAAAGACTGTAGAATGACAATAACAAATGAACACATGAATATTCATATTATTCATATAAATATAAAAAAACGTATTTATACAGTTCTGTTATCATTATTAAGTATACAAGTAATTTAAACGTTTAAAGTAAGTGATAAAAGGAAGAATGATATTGAAAGGAAACGAGTTATAAGAAGAAATAAATTAGCAATTCATATCTAGTATTTCATTTTGTAAAATCCTTTCAGTTTCCACTATTGTGGTTTTTGTGCTTTGTGCTTTCTGAATATTTCCAAGGATATTCCGTGACATTTTAATAAAGGAATTTCAATATTTTTCCAGTATTGGAGCTTCTATAGCTTCGACGAGAAGCTGAAGTAACTCCAATGCTAGCGATACGTCGAAATACTTTTTTCAGAAAATTGCGAAAATCGTTTTCTTTGTCGCGTCATTCATAGCGAATATACATGCCATTAATCCAGGTGTTCCCGATGGATCAGACTGAAATTGGTCGTAACAGCTTCAAGAACGGTATCAGAACTAACTCTGATCAGAGCCAACAACTTCCGCAGCAATCAAATTTCAGGAAGTCTTTGGCCACCTTAAATCAATCAGTTAGCAAGCAATCAGGTCCAATTTACGAGGAACGTCAGACCACGATCAGATTATGTCAGAAATTCCAGAAAATACACGGTTATGCTAGTCGTCTTTATATAGTACCGCAAAGTTGTTATCCGATACTTTGGTCCAGTTCGTGAAAAATAATTTCAAGTTTGCAGAAAGTTAGTCAAAAGTGTCAATTCAGATTTTAAAATATCTGGTTTAAATTTGACCATGTACATTACATAGATGAAAGAATTTACAGGCAGGTTTCGAGCGTAAAAATAAACCAAATATATGGAATAAAATTCTTCCATGCGATACTTTGTTTTCGAGTAAATCGATCTTGAAGATTTCGACATTGAAGACTCGATTAACGTGTCTGTTCATTACTCGTTACTTCCACTCGAGTTACCGTTTGTATAGTGCTATCTGACTTCCGTCGAACTTACTATCTTCTAACTAGTTCGATCAGGTGAAACAGATAACACCACGTGGCTGTTAATGTTTACAAACACCAAAACAAATAAAAAAATAACAAGTGTCGTATGAAAAGATTGTTCTTAAAAAAAATTGCATTCCTTGATGGAAACTATCTTTAAAAATTATAACTGTGATAATTTATAAATATGACAGAGATCAATATTTAAAAAGTATCGTATTTTTCTGTAACCTGTAACGAAAAATGGTTGTCATATAACGATAAAAAACGATTTGAATGACGATTGTACGTTGGCAAAACACCCGGATGTACGTCGAAACGTTCGTCTATTCTCTATTAAATCAGTACGAAACAATAGTAATATGATATTGCCAACAAAGTGATCCAGAACCAGCCCGCATTCTCATACAAAGGCGTGTCCATATTTTTGCACGAATATATTCGGTGGCACACATCGCACGTCGCAATAACAAAGTTACATTTTGTGCAATTTTATTGGGCTATTAAATTTTGCAACGTCCAGTATATATGCTGTTCCTTTTTTCAGTGAATTATCACGTTTCGCCATTCGAAGCTCTTTTGTGAAGGACAAAACATTCGTTAATCGAAAATCAGCATTCGGAGGATTTGAATCGTTTATACAATTTAAAAATATTGAATTTTACAAAAATGGAATTCCTTTTTTTCGTATATTTATAATTTAATCGATATAAGTTTATCATTTTTGAACCTATGACAAGTACTATTCAAAAACATAAATTAAAGCAAAGTCTCGAATACATTCGAATTAATAGTAACTCGTAAACTTAAAAGTATTATTAACACTTTAAATTTTCACCCAAGACACAACCGGTTCTAAATATGGGCTGTAAACGTATTCCTCGATACTGAAATTACATCCTTCTTCTCGACTTATGTTTCGACCTTTTGTTTAAATTACAAGAGAAATCATCACTGCAATTGCTTTAAAGCTACAAATGGTACGATTGAAATAGCTATGAGATTTCGATTGTAAACTTCATCGGAACAGTATAACGTGAACACAGTACGGTCCATTGGTCGTAGCAGCTGGTTGTGCATGGGTCAATTATCTGAAACGACCCTTTAGCAGCTAATTGAGATGTTAATTACGATACGTTCAAGCTAGAAATAACATTTTTTATAGAGGAGACCTCAAGAAAGCGAGGCACATTTTTCGAAGACAGCTGCAAAATTTGTAAAATAACTTCTCGATGAAAATAAAATAAACAATAAATGCAATTTATGCATTAAAGCGAAACTATCACCAATATTTCTTCATCTGGGACTTCATATTAGCAATAACACCGTTATATTGATTATGACGTTATGTTTTTAAGGCATTACCAATTATCCTCTGTAAAGACTTGGAAGGTACACGGAAGTCGTAGTAATCAGTAATTAATGCGATTCTAAAGTTTCGATAATGATCATTACGAATGGACTTGTTCAATTATTAAAAATACATTCTTGCAATCAAATTTTATAGTTAAACTTCGTTTGATTAATTTATGATATCGTATACCATTGACCATGTGACTATAAATATAAAAAAATTTGTGGCACACTGAAACTACCAACTACTCATTCTTCCCCAAATATGGACTTATACCACTCTAAAAGAAAATTCTTGCAATAATATTTTAAGGTTAAATTTCATTTAATTAATTTATGATATCGTACACTATTGAACGTGTGATTATAAATGTAAAAAGAGAATGCCTGTATCTCACTAAAACTACCATTAACTCGTGTTTCCAGAAATAAACTTACACAACTTAAAAAAAAAACATTCTTGCAATAACATTTTACAATGATATATAGGTGATCATAAACATAAAAAGGTGGTATATACATCTCACAAATACTACCATTAACTCTTCCTTTATACCAAAAAAATGTCTCGTATCGTCCGCTGAATTTTAATATCAGACTAAAGGTATATTTACGTGTGGGCGTATTTTGGCTG